AAAGATGTACATCTAGGTTTTATTCTGTCATCTGTATGCTGAGCAAATAACCAGGCAAAATGAGCTATCAAAAGAAGAATGCAACATCAGGCGTGGAGGAAGGCTCACGAATGACCTGCAGTATGCAGGTGACTCGACCCTGCTTGCTGAAAATGAGGAGGTCTTGAAGCAGTTGCCAATGAAGATCCAGGATTGCAGCTTTCAATATAGATTGCAATTTAATGTAAAGAAAAAAAAATCCTCACAAGTTGTCCAATTGGTACTATCGTGATAAATGGAGAAAAGATAGAAGTTGTCAAAGAGTTCATCTCGCCTGGATCAACAATCCATGCTAATGGAAGCAACAATGAAGAGATGAAATGACACATTGCATTGGCTCCATCGGACGCACAAGACCACTTCCAAGTGTTCAAAAGCCAGGAGGCTACTTTGAGGACTATGGTGCAGAAGATCCAATCCACGATGTTTTCAATCGCCTCTTATGCATGTGAAAGTTGACATTGAATAAAGAAGACTGAAAAGGCATGGATGCATTTGAATCATGGTGCTGGCAAAGAATACTGAAGGAGCCAGGGACTACAAAAAGAACAAACAAATTTGTCCTGGAAGTACAATCAGCATGCTCCTTAGAAGCAAGGATGGTGAAATTTCATCTCATGTGCTTTGGACATGTTGTCAGGAGAGACCAGTCCCTGGAAAAAGACATCGTGCTCGGTCAAGTAGACCTTCTATGAGATGGAGGGACACAGTGGCTCAATTAGATGGCAGTGACGGGCTCCAGTATAGTGACAATTGTGAAGACGGCGCAGGACCGGGCAGTGTTCAGTCCTGCTGTACATGGGGTTGTGATGAGTCAGAACTGACTTGATAGGACCTAACAAAAGCGAACAGCCTAGGGAATCGTCTGGGTAAAGAGATGCCTATGTGTGGCGATAGGTCCGTTTCGGGGGCTGTTCAGGATGCAGATGCCTTGACGTTGAGAGGAGAGATGAAGGGACCACCATCCTTCATCAGCGTCATGCTTTTCTAGTGTCCGCGGTGGTTGGGGAAGGCAGTTTTCATCCGGGAGGGGAGGAAATCGGCTTGGAAAGGAACAGGTATTTACTGAGCATGTACAATGTGCCAGACTTCGATGGAGTGCTTTCTTCCCCAACTCATTTAATCCTCACAAAAGCCCTGTGAGGTAAATGGGATTATCCCAATGATATAAAGAGAACATCCATGAGAGAAATGAAGCTTCATTAAAAAAACAAAACAAAACAAAACCAAAAAAACCTCAAAACCAAACTCACTACCATCAGACAATTCCCTATAGGGCAGAGAAATGCCGCTGTGGAATTCCCAAACTGTAAATCTTTTACGTGATCTGAAAGCCTCACCTTTCTCCTTAGGAGTAGCTGCTGATTTTGAACTGCTGCCCGTGTGTATAACTGGCTCCAAATTCCCCACCCAGCAAACGGCAGGGTTTAGGTTAGTTTGATGACCAAGTGTCTGCTTTTGACATTACTCAAGGAATCAGAATACTTGGATAAATGCAACTAATTGACAAGACCTCTGACCATCAGTTTGTCATACTGTGACGGCCTTCATGTTGTTGTGCTGGTGGAAGCTATGCCATTAATATTTAGACCATCATGAGGGCCACTTATGGTGACCAGGTCTCAGTAGAGCTTCCAGAGTAAGACAGTGTAGGAGAAAAAGTCTGGCAATCTGCTTCTAAAATGTAGTCATCGAAAACCCCATAAATCCAACAGAATATTCTCTGATATCTTATAAGATATTATCTGATATAAAATATTATCTGATAAATTAGCTGATATAAATATAGTGCTGGAAGATGGGACCCAAAGGTTGGAAGGCATCAAAATATCCAATGGCTGCAATGATGATTGTGAAGATGGTACCAGATTGGGTAGTGTTTTCTTCAGTTGTACACGAGGTTGCCAAACTTGGAGTAAATTATAGCAATTAACAACAACAAATTGGGAAGAGGAGATATTATTTTCCCAAGGTAAAATGAAATCAAATCTGGTTCCTTCATGAACCAGCAAATTGAATCAACCCTTTCCCAGTCCATGAATATCCAGGTACATTGGCCTGACCTTGGGAACTAGGGTTTGCTTTTGCCCAAAGGAATTTTTAAAACTCCCACTTTGGAAAATACCTGCAGTCAACTCTTACTTTCTCCAGAACTCTGAGAACTGGTAGTTCTTCCTGAGGACAAAGAACAGGGCTTGTGTCAGGGCTTGGAAGGAGGAGAGCTTGGACCAAGCAAGAAGAAGGTGAGAGAAGAGCTGGGAGTCTAGAAGTCATAGCTTCCAAGTTTTCTACCCCATGCCTATCCTCCACCAACCTCAACAGCACATTGACTGCTCTTGCCACTCCTCAAATGCTGGCCCCAGTTTCCTCCTCTGCCTGCTCTGGTATCTGTGTCTCCACTGAGCCTCTGACTTCAGGGGGAGGCAGGCAGGCCCACGAGAGTATGTAAGTCAGTTAGGGTTTGTCGTTTACACGTGGAGATCATTAACAAGATTTATTTTTAAATTGTAATTGCAAAATGTAAATGCTCCCCAAGCTGATGTGTAATTGCTACCCCTCCACCCCAGCCCTTCCCCTCCAGTGCTGGTTTTGCAAGGAGAGAATTAGAAAATAAAAAGGGGGTGGATTATGTAAGCAAAATGATTTTAAAAAAAGAGTGAGAGAGAGCTAAGAATTTAAGTGAGACAGCTGGCGGCTTCTCTGATTGCCACACTTCCAGCATTCTTTGCAAAAAAAAAAAAAAAAAAGCCCTTGCTAGTTTTATTCATCCAAGCAACCATGTCAACTATATTTGGTCCCCAGAAAATACCACACTGTCACTCACTTGTTAAGTCCAAAATGGCCAGTGGGTAGGTGCATATTCATGTGCCCTGGAGGAGGAAGTGACATCTATTTGAGGCCTCCATCCCATTGAGAGGAGCCCCGGTGGTAGAGGGTGCCTTGTTGGCCTGTGATGTGCACTGAAACCACCAGCAGCTCCCAGGGAGAAAGACTGGGCTTCCTCCTCCTGTAAGCAATCACAGTCTTGGAAACCCACAGGGGGATCGCTACGAGTCAGCACTGACTGGATGGCAGTGAGTTTGGTTTCGGGTTTGCCCTTCCAGTCTGTAGAAAGACTCCCACGGGAGTCAGCTATTGGTCAACCTATTCCCATTCTTCCCCACTGTCTACCCTGTAGGTGCCAGATAACAATGGTACTTCCATTTTTCTAGGTGGTCTGGATTGATTAGACTCTAGCACCCATATTCTTGTTGTTAGTTGCTATCAAGTTGAATCGGATTCATGGTGATTCACAGCACTCACCTGGAGAAAATCCGGCTCTCCAGGTAGCTCTGTCCTAGTTTCAGTCCCATGGAAAGCCACTGCACTTGGACAACAATACACTTTCAAGCAGTTGTTTTAGGAGTCTGTGACTTTTGTCCTTCGCTTTCTTTGTCACCGTCCCTTCCATCCCTGCCCCAATATGATCCACAGTGAACTTCTTTCAACATCACGTTGCACATGTATTCCAAATGGTGTTGACCAGACTGTTAACCTGTCTCCCAAATGGGCATTGCTCCTACTCATAGGGGGTGGACCTTCTTCTAGGTGTGCCTTCCTTCCGGCTTCCCCCTCATGTGGTATAGCGTGCGCTAGCATACTCTGCCAAAAGGTGGAAGGGACAAGGAAGGAGGACAAAGCACTGCCAGCCAGTTCTATCTTCCTCTCTTAATAGCCATGGTTTTCTTATCTACCCACATGGGAGGTAGGCCCAGAACGGTCACCGTGTGGATCTCTCAATTCCCGACTCTTGAGGAAAACCAGTTTTGGTTGGCAGCAATGGTTGTTTCAGCTGCCATTAACTAGACTCTGATTCATACCAATTCTGTGTCTTACAGAAGGTAATGTCACTGGTCCTGCATCATCCTCACTGTGATTGCCTGCTCAAATCTATTGCTGTGGTTACTAGGCCAATCCATTTCCCAGAGGGTCTCCTTTGCCCTCCCCGTCAGCAAACATGATGGCATAGACCATCTTAGCCTGAAACTGCTCCCACAATGAAAACTGTTGGCCTCTCAGGCCATCCTGTTCCCAGGACGTAAGGAAATCTACAAAATCCTTGACAAGGGCCTTCACATTTGGGGCCAAATCTCAGATCCAGCCCTAATCATGGCAGCCTGGAAAGAAAAAGGATTGTTGGGATAACTGGCATTTAAAACCCTGTCTATACTGAAACTGTGGGATCATGAAGTTATTTAAGGGGATAAAGAAAAACCTCGTCTGATTAGAGGATTAAATGAGATCCTTTATTCAAAATGCTTTATAAATGCTAAAGAACTATTTCTCAGAGTTCATCTGAAATATGTTGGGTGCAGTGTCCCAACATTCATTAAAAATCTTTGGAATGCATATACCTGAGTCTTAACCTAGATCCACAAAATCAGAACCTCTGGCCATAGAGTCCAAGAACTGCATTTTAATTGAGTATCACTAAGGAGATATTCTCTCTGTAGAGTCCATGCGTGGTGCAATTAGTTATGCACTTGAGCACCAGTCAAAAGGTTAGTGGTTAGATTCCTCCCCAAAGCATCTCAGCAGGCCGGCCTAACAAGCTTCTTCTGAAAGTCAGTCTTGAAAACCTCACGTGGCATATGGGGTCACCATAAGTCAGATGACACGAAAGCGACTCACAACCACGCTTGCTCAGAAGATTGCACAAATGTTCTCATCATGATGCATATAATCAATGCCTCATTCAACAATACCTACAAAAATGATGGTTCATAAGATACGGCATAAATATAACCTCATGAAGCTAAGGAGTACAAAGAAGACATGAAAAGGCCATCCGAGGCTTTGCTTCTAAGGTGTGTGTGCTAAGCATCAGTTACCATGAGTTGATTCTAGCGGTTTTCAGAAGCAAACATAAAATCTATTGACGGACTTAGCTGTGTGTTCAAGGAGAGAAAAGCACTTCTTACTATTTGGGTGATCCTGGGCTAGTCTTCAGGAGACTCCCCGCCTCTTCTTACTCCCAGTTGGGCCAGAAAAGCTTCTGTCAGCCAAGCTCAACCTGTAAAAAATACAAGGGCAGATCAGATCTCAGCAGGGAAGACTAGACATGTCTGAGTGATCAGAGAACACGGGTCTCCCAGGCTCTGTTCACCATCACCTCTCCTCACTGCTCATCCTCCTTCCCAGCTGTGAGGGAAAAGCTCCATTTCCTCAAGAGATGCTTCTCCCACATTCACCAATCAACTCTTTCTCCGGAAGGGGCTGCTTAGACCCACTGGGCCATTTTAGATCACACTATTTGCCACCAATGACGAGCCATGGGGTTGCCCGTCTGGCTCCCCAAGCCCAAGCGCCGTACACTACACTTTCCCTCAAGGGTGCTTGAGGGACTTCTGAGCATCGAGAAGGCCAGGACCGACACTTTCTTTTAAAAGGACCCAACCCCCCTTTACTGTTCGGTCAGTTTTGACCCATAGGAACCCTGCATGACAGAGTAGAAATGCCCAGGCAGTAATCTTTAAGGAAGCAGACAGACGGCCGCAACTTTTTCCTGTAAAGTGGGCAGTGGTTTCAGCTGATGGGTTTAAACTGCTGATAGTTAGAAGCCAATCACCAACCATGGTGACACCAGGGGGGCTTCTGATTAAGGGGAAGGGGGTCAGTTGCACCTTTTCCAGTTGTGCAGATGAGCCTCAGGTGCTGTCATGGCATCTGCTGCATTTGTCTAGGGACCAGAGAGAGGCCGATGGGGCGCGGCCAGATGGAGGAGGAAGGAGGCAAGTGGCAAAGAGGATGAATCCAGAGGGAATGGACCAAGTATACAAATTGGCCTAAAGGTGACGTTAACAGCATAGCTTCTATGTATTTTTAAAATATATATACTCGAGTATAAGCCGACCTGAATATCAGCTGAGGCAACTAATTTTACCACAAAAACTGCACAAAAATGGGCTGAAAACCTTGGCTTATACACGACTCTATACGGTAAGTTAATGAATTTTGTTTCTCCATATTTGGAGCCCTGGTAGTGTAATGGTTACACATTGGGCTGCGATCTGCATGGTCAGCAGTTCAAAACCCCCAGCAGCTCCAAGGAGAAAACCTGGGCTTTCTACTTCTGTACACAGCTACAGCCTTGAAAACCCACTGAGAGCCACTAAGAGTCAGCACTGAGTGTCTGATATTTGAAGCAGACAAAGGTGCCTGGAAATTCAGATGGGGTGGTCATCTTGTTATGAGATCTGATCTGAATAGTCACATCAGGTTGCTAATTTGACTGGCGTCAAACTCCAAGCCCAACTGGGCAATAGTTGGAGCCCAGAAGGTAGGGTCCACTGGTTGCCATTCCCATGCCTGGGCTGAACTTTCAGGATGGTATTGGAGAGGTCTTCCAGCAAAAAGCCCCTGCCCTATACCAGAGGTAAATGTATCTTTAACTCAACTGTTCCTTCTTCGTTAATACCATCATGGCCTCCCTGCAAAAACATATTTGTATTTCAAGAAAAAATTTAATTAGTGACATGACAATAATAATAACACAAAAAGCTCCTTGCTATTGAGCCATTCCGACTCACAGCGACTCCATGAATAGGAGGAGGTAAGTAGTGGCCCAGGCTGGGAGTGACAGCGGGGACAGAGACATTTAGACATTTGCCTAAAAATGAGATTTCCCTCCCCTTTATAGAGTGCAAGCGTGCATGTGCTCTGTGCCTGCGTCAGATGATGGTGATCCTATTTGGGATCCTAAGGCAGGCATGAGTTTCAGGAGAAAGGATCCCAGGGCTTGCTGGAAGGATGGGTTAATCTGAGAAGCTTTAAGGGTAGGCCCACGCGTTCATGAATTTCCATGAACAAAAAGCTCTCTGGGTTGAAACAACCCCCCACCGCCATGGCCCCAGACCAGTTTCCAGGAAGAGACTGAGGAGATGAGGACTATAGAGACCCTTTTTACAAAGCAGCACAGACTTCAGGCCTCCCTGGTTATCACCTGCCTTGGGGCAGTCACAGAGAGGCCAAGAGATCAGGACCAACTGAGAGAGGATTCTAAATTTCCCCCCTTCAAGTATCCGTTCCCCCCACTCCCCGTACTTTGTTCCAGCCTCCTCCAAATGATCTTTCTTCCAATTCTATGAATGATCCCTGAGTTCCCTGGTGAGCTAGGAGCAAATCTAGGAGAAAGGTTTGATTTCTTACTAGTTCTCACATGGCTCTCAGTTGTTCATTTCCATCCCTCCCAATCTGTGATACAAATCTAGAGAGGGCCTTCCTTTGTGGCTATGCCTGCCAGCACATCTGCACACAGCTGCTTCGAGACAAGCAGATGCCAGCACGCTGCACCCATCAAGAACTTTATCTATGCCCAGCGAGTGCAGCAATGAGCACCTTGCTGCCCTCAATTACAGCTATGTCACCATCTGTCACAGCATGGTCACTAACTCCCCACTGTGCCCAGAATGAACTCCTGATACTCAGAACACACTCAACAAATGTTTGCCGGCTGTATTATACCAAATACGGTACTCAAGGTGGCTGCTGTCCGCTTCCTAACTGCCTTTCTAGACTTCACGCCTCTTCACCCTTGGCTCTGTACTCTCCACCCAAGCAAAAGCATGCTCTATTCTCTAACCCTGTCCACAATTTCCCACTTCTCACACTGTCCCAATTCTGTGGTTCAGTCTGACAAAATTCAGTCTTTGATGTTCAAATCAAACCACTACTTCTACAACTAATTTTTACCTCCTCTGCGTACCCAGGTGTTTAAAGTTCTTAATACATCTTATTTTTTGCTCTACCTATTCTATACATCTGTGGTAGTTACATAATCTGGTGTCAATTTGAGGAATTAAGAGTATAGGGGAGGAGTCTATCCCGTCAATTAGGATATAGCCAATGAGGCCTATGTGTGGGCATGGCCTTCTCCTGAGGATTCTGGGAACTCCTGTATTTCTTCCTTGGAGGTGGGAGACACTCTCTAACTAGACTCTCTCCCTGTGAGACTCTCTACTGACTTCCTGCAAGACATCCTGTAGAGAAGACACATGGAGAGAGGCTGATGGAGCCAGAACCCTGGAGCCAGAGAAGCCATGTGGAGGCCCCTGCAAGCACTGGGATGCTTACAATGCCACTGGATCCACAAGACTTCCTACCCACTGGCCTGTGATCTTCTTGCATTTGGCGTCACTGCATGTGTTTCGTGAGTCTGAAGGGGACTTTATAGATTACTGTTGGACATATGGGCTACTTACTATTGGACTTATGGACTTGACATGGACTGGGCTGGGGTGTTTTCTCAATATTCTACTGCTCTTGCATATAAAGCTCTTTCTTACAAACATATGAGTGTCTATGGATTTGGTTCTCTAGTCTGCCCGGACTAACACAGCATCCTTCATCTGTTTTCTCAAATAGTCAGCTCCTCATGGCTTAGAGCAGGGGTCCTCAAGCAGGGGTCCTCAAACTTTTTAAACAGGGGATCAGTTCACTGTCCCTCAGACCCGTAGGAGGGCCGGACTATAGTTTTTAAAAAAACTATGAACCAATTCCTTTGCACATTGCACATATCTTATTTTGAAGTAAAAACCAAAATGGGGCAAAAACACCCAGCGGGCTGGATAAATGTCCTCGGTGGGCCACATGTGGCCCATGGGCCGCAGTGTGAGGACCCCTGGCTTAGAGAGTCTGTTTTATATTTTGTCTTCTTTTTCAGATAATGAAGTAACTTCATGGACAACACATACGGTAGCCCTTAAAACAAACTTTAGAAATGGGAATTTTATTAATTATTTTTATCTTTACAACCTGATGTGTGCTTATTGTAGAAAGTGCACATAGCAAGGAAGGAAGGAATTTACATTAGTTGTAATCCTCCAATGGAATCCCCTGGCGGTTCAAAAGGTTAACCTGCTTGGCTGCAAACCAAAAGGTTGGCAGTTTGAACTCACCTTGTAAGAAAGGCCTTGGGATCTATTTCAGAAAACCAGTCAGTGAAAACCCCATTGAGCACAGTATACGCTGACACATGCATTGGAATTAACTCCATGGAAATTGGTTATTGGTTAACCTTGCAGTACAAAGATGACCACAGTTAGTATTTCTTTAAAAAAATCATACTGTACATATGATATGTAACCTGCCTTGTCATTTAATAGGCCATAAATAACTTTACATGTAAGGGAAATACCATATATACTAAATGTTTAATGGCTACACAATATTCTATTGTGAATCATTATAGTGACTGAAATTTCGACCATTTGTTGTTTATTCCCCCCTCCGGCCGATTTTGCTATAATAAAAAGAATAATGTATGTACTCATTGCTCAATTTCCAGTCACACCAGAGGCAGGTCTACAGAGGGAAGAATAATACTAGTGAGGTAGGCATCCCTTAGAACAGTCAGCCATCAGGAATCAAAGGGGACGTTTTACCTGAGGTCAATGTCCAGAATGGTTGGGGGGAGGTGGCATGGAAACAAAGCGCTGGCTGGGTGAGTGGGAGAGTGATGTTGCTGTGGAGGGCACTGTAGTGAGTGAGATGACACAAACTGCGTAGGGATTGTTGACTGTAAAACTAGTGATCTGCTCTATATATGTTTGTTCCATTCACAATAAAAAGTGTGCTTTTAAAGCCCACCACAAAACATAACACACATCCTTTTAGCTAGATTGTGCTCCACACTTGATTGTTTTCATAGATCAATTTCTAGATGTGGAACTGTAAGGTCTGATGATGGCATGTTCATTTGTAAGAATTCCTCTAGCATTACCAAATTATCTTGTGGGAATGTCACACCTATGTATCTCCTGTTAGCAGTATAGGAGCTATCATCCCCTTGCTAGGCCGTTGTTCCCATTTAATAGATGTGGATAATAAGATTTAAGAGAGTCAAACACATGGCTTGCCTAAGAAATCAGCAAGCAAGTGGTGTATCTTCTGACTCAAACAGTTTGTTCTTCAAATCTCTTTGTACCTCTTTCTTCTTGTACTTCTTCCCAATCTCAGTAGATTGCTTTGTGTGCTGTTCTTATTAGTTATCATCATTTGATTGATGGCAAA